GACGTAATTCAATACGCTATCCCAAAATTCGTGCACATCAAATGATTTTCAGGGTCTTTGGTGCACCATTTACATAAAATCGGGCGAAACTATATATGGGAGCTATATCTAAATCTGAACTGATTTGCAGGAAACTTAGAACACATTATTCTAGACCTAATTCAGTAGGTTATACCAAATTTCATGCAAATCGAAAGATATATAGGGACTTTGGTACACCATTTACCTTAAATCGGGCGAAACTACATATGGGATCTATATCTAAATCTGAATCGATTTTCACGAAACTTAGTACGCATCATTCTAGACCTATTTCAGGAGGCTATACGAAATTTCGTGCAAATTTCGTGAAAGTGGTACCCCACTTTCCATAAATCGGACGAAAATATATATGGGAGCTATATCTAAATCTGAACCGATTTTCACGAAACTTAGCACACATCATTCTAGACCTTATTCAGTAGGCTATATTAAATTTTGTGCAAATCGAAAGATATATAGGGACTTTTGTACACCATTTACCTTAAATCGGACGAAAATATATATGGGAGCTATATCCAAATCTGAACCGATTCTCACGAAACTTAGCACACGTCATTCTTGACTTAATTTAATACGCTATGCCAAAATTCGTGTAAATCAAATGGTTTTCAGATACTTTGGTGCACCATTTACCTAAAATCGGGCGAAACTATATATGGGAGCTATAACTAAATCTGAACCGATTTTCACGAAACTTGGCACACATCATTCTAGACCTAATTCAGTAGGCTGTACCAAATTTCATTTACCTTAAATCGGACGAAAATATATATGGGAGCTATATCTAAATCTGGACCGATTTTTCCCAATTTCAATAGGGTTCGTCCTTGGGCCAAAAAATGAACTGTGCCAAATTTCATACAATTCGGATCATAAATGCGACCTGTACTTTGTTTACAATTTAACAAGGACAGACGGACGGATGGACATGCATAAATCGACTCAGAAAGTAATTCTATGCATATTCTCAAAAGGAACCATGGGTCTATCTCGATTATTTTTGCCTGTTACAAACATATGCACAAAGACATAATATACTGTACCACAATGTGGTGAAGGGTATAAAAATATTGGAAATATTATTTTCAATGAAAGAATGTAGACATTTACAATTCATTTATTTTTTTCGTACTGCCGAATTCTACAATAAACACGGTTGCTCTTCTAGGTTTTTGTGGTTACTGTTAAGGTCCATCCCATTGTCGGACCAGTCGAACTTAACTTAACAACGTTTTTACATATTATTATTATTCTGAATAATTTACACGTTAGGTATTCGGTGATCTCTTCTTGCATCGGTCAACCTACTACTGCCCTTTTATTTTGTCTATTTTTTCATTCATTTCAGTTTCCTGATTAATTATTGTAGATGTATATATCATAAATAATAATGTATAAACATATGAACTCACAAAAAGAAAACTAATCACTTAACGATAATAATACAACAATGGAATTTGTAAAATTCAAACTGTAGTGTAATTAATATTAAGTACACAAAGGTAATTAATAACAACAATAAAACTTAATGAAAATTATTACTTTTAATTTTCATAGCCAAATGCAATTGTAAATATCTATACAATACATGTGTGTATACAAAAACAATTACAACTTACACTCATACGCACACACATATGTTTAGATACATAAGATATTATTACAAAAGGGCAAGATTGTATATTAGATTAAATTAAATGTAAAGAAAACAAAAACCAACAAACAAAACAATTTTGATATAATTTAATAAAAATTATTTAAATGAAAGAATTTAACTCGTTTCTTTTATTTAGTATGAATAAGAAAAGGTAATTGTTAAAAAAATATCAAAAAAAAATATTTGTTAAATAAAATTTAACAAAGAAAATGAAGATAAAGTATAACAAGAGTCTTAACCGCAATCCTCCACCAAATAAGAAGAAAAATAAAGAAAAGTATTTAGTCTTCGGCCAAACCACACATTTCACCACGTACTTCAATCCATTCTGCAAAGAGAATTAAACAAAAAAAAAATGAACAAAAAACAAACAAAAAGAAAAAGTGAGAAAAATTTTTTTTGTGGGTTTAAATAGAAGAAAATGGAAATTGGATTAGGGTTGCCGAAATAGTTTGAATTTTAAGGATAAATGATTCAAAGTAGGAAAAGCCATGTAATGCATAAAGCGGGATAGATATTTATGAAATTTATTTTTTTCCAAATGTCTCAAAGCCCTAAAATCTCAATACGTTGATCGATCGATAAAATCTATAAATTTTAACCGATTTAATGCAATCTTGACAAACATCATTGTAGATGTAATCCAGTACAATATGTTAAAATTTGTTTCAATTGGATATCTCGGATGAAAATATATATGGAAACTATATCTAAAACTGAACCGATTTGCACAAAACTCAGCGCATCTAATGTTAGTCGCATGTCGGAAACCCGTGCATATCAATTTGGTAGACTTATGGTGTGTTCCCGTACTGCAAGAATCTCCTATTTTTATACCCTCCACCATAGTATGGAGGGTATAGTAATTTTGTCATTCCGTTTGTAACTCATCGAAATATTCATTTCTGACCCTATAAAGTATATATATTCTTGATCAGGGTAAAATTCTAAGACGATCTAGCCACTTCCATCCGTCCGTCCGTCTGTTGTAATCACGCTATCTTCTGAAGGAATTGAGATAGGGTGCTGAAATTTTGCATAGGTTTGTCTATTGTCTGCCGGCAGGTCAAGTTCGAAGATGTGATATATCGGTCCACGTTTAGGCATAGCTCCCATATAACAGTAGCTCCCAATTTTCGGTATTTTGGGGTTCTTGAGCGCGTTTTTCAACCGAATAGATTGAGTTCTTATTGGGTACTAAATGTCTCCACAAAAAATTATGAATATAGGTCCACTTTTTCTGGTAGCCCCCATATAACGGTACCTCCTAATTGTCAGTATTTTGGGGGTTTTGATCGTATTTTTCCACCAAATTGGCTGTAATTTAGTATTTTGAGTTCATAATAGGTACTAAATCTCTCCAAAAAAATTATAAATATAGGTCAATTTTTTCGGATAGCCCCCATTAAAAGGGTACCCCCAATATTCGGTTTTTTGGGGTTCTAGAGCGCTTTTTCAACCGAACGCGTATTATGTGTTTGTGCATATGTTTGTAACAGGCAGAAGAAACGAGATAGGCACATGGTTACTTTTGAGAATATGCATAGAATCACTTTCTGAGTATTTGGCCCAACACGAACCCTATTAAAATTGGGAAAAATCGGTTTATATTTAGATATAGCTCCCATATATATTTTCGTCCGATTTATATAGCTTTCGATTTGCATGAAATTTGACACAGCGTACTGAATTGAGTCTAGAATGATTCCACGAAACTTAACACACATCACTCTAGGTACAATTAAGTACGCCATACGCATCCACCATTCGCCGTTAGTTAACCGGCTCACAAGTGTTCATAACTTGTATTTATATTGCAGTTATTACAAAGTTGCATCTGAGAATTAAAATCAAATTTATCAAGGTTCGACATTTGTCATCTCTTGAATAATTTATCCACACTCTCACAATTGCTACCATGTTATATACATGTTCAGAACTCTAAGTAGTCGTTCGGCATTTGCGTAGATCTGGGAACATGGGTTCGAATCCTAGCCTTGCTGAGCTGGAATAATTTTATTTATTTGACTTTTTGCCTTTATGGGCGATGATCATTGTATGATTATTTTGCTAGGATTCGAACATAAGAAAAAAAACTAAAAAGTGAAAAAAAGCGATAATATAGAGAAGATACCAAAAAGTTGACCTATACCGACAATTCTACAAACCGATTTATATACAAATTTTAACGATTTTTATTGGGGATTTGTCCTGAAAACCCAAAAACGTGGACTGATATTAAAAACGCATGGTAGAGTGGAACATGTGTATAAAATCCTGAAACTACTAAAATTTAGTGTGCAAAGTTATATATAATGTTTTTAGAAGATTGATAGAAAAATTAAAAAAAACTATAAAAAGTACATTTGTGGTAGATCCGGCATTTTAAATTGGGGCACATTAGGCCATATACAGATAGTGCAATATTATTTCCTTAAAATGTTTTTGAGTTTGTCTTTAAAAATAATCCTTTAATATGGTTCGAAATTACATATATAAGACGAAACGTGCTTGTGTTGTCGAAAATGCGATATAATGAAGCTATTTCTTATAGAGTTTGTGACTTTAAGACGTCAACGTCCGCCACTAGAAAATATAGCCTTAAAAGTCAAACTTTGAGTCGCATATTTAAACAAAATATAACCTTTAGAGGATCTAAATTTCAACCAGGCTGAAAGCGGTGACAATTACCAGTCTTTGACTATGGTGCAGAATTATTACAACAGATGACTAAATCGTCTTAGAATTGGGGTATCCTTATGTGGGGGCTACCCAAAAATTAACCAATATTTATAATTTTTTGTGGAAGGATTTGCTACCCAATAAGAACTCAACATACCAAATTTCAGCGAATTCGGTTGAAAACGCGCTCAAGAACCCCAATATACAGAAAATTCGGGGGGTACCTTTATAGGGGAGCTATGCCTAAACGTGGACCAATATAGCCCATCTTCGAACTTGTCCTGTTTAGACGCTGGAGTGATTACAACCGACGGACATAGAATTTTACTCTAATCAAAAAAATATATCTATATATATAAATGGAGCAAAAAAATGTTTATATCGTTTATAATTTAAGAACGTCTGCACCAATTTGACGATTCGAAGGACTTATAAATCGTATGTGGTCAGAATAGGAAAATATGCAAACTAATTTTGAGATTCCGCCAAACCAAATATATATATATATATATATATAAGTAATATTTACAATTCCTCAATTTTTGTATCGAGCTTTAATGTTTAAATAAATTGTTTTTTTTTTTTCTTTAAGACATATGGTTAAAACTTTTATCAAACCAATAAGGAAAGTACTAAAGTCGGGCGGGGCCGACTATGGGTATATTAAACAGGACTATTAACATGAAATTGGATGAACTGAAATATGTGATATTTATAAAAATAGAATCGATTTAGATAAACATGTCATTCGTTTGTTACAATGGGACAAAAGTATGTAAATTGAATTCAAACAAATATCAAGAGGACTTCCGTTGGGCTATGTCTGTACTTCTAGAAAACGCCACTACGTTATTCTATGCTCAATTTTGTACGTTGTGCAAAATTTCATGTCAATCTGACAAACATGAAGAGTTTGATGCGCCATTAACTTAAAATCGGAATCTATATCGAAATATGAACCGATTTCAAGAAACTGTTACAGGTTAGGTTATACTAATTTCTGTACGTTTTGTTCCCATCAGCCATATATTGGTTCCTTGGTGCGTTAATTACTTAAAATCAATCGATAATGTATAAGGGAGATATATCTACATCTCAAACGATCTTCACGTTATGTCAAATTTCTTGCAAATCTAAACATATATAGGCACTTGTGCACCACATTAAATCGTACGAAACTATATATGTGAGCTATATCTAAACCAAGACCAATTTCCACGAAACTTGCCAGGCATCATTCTAGGGTAAATTCAGTACGTTATGACAAATTTCGTGCAAATTGAAAGATATATATGCACTTTGGTGCACTATTTACATTAAATAGGACCAAACTTATATGGGACCTATATTTAAATCTGGACCGATTTTCAGGAAATTTGGCAGACATCATTCTAGGATCAATTATGTACGGTATGTCAAATTTCGTGCAAATCGAATGATATATTGGGACTTTGGTGCACTATTTACATTAAATCGGGTGAAAATATATATGGGAACTATATCTAAATCTAGACCGATTTTCACGAAATTTGGTAGACAACACTCTAGGCCCGATATCGTGAAAATCGGATGATATATAAGGACTTTGGTGCACCATTTACATTAAATCGGACGAAAATATATATGGGAGCTATATCTAAATTTGGACCGATTTTCACAAAACTTAGTAGACATCACTCTAGGCCCAATTCAGTATGTTATGTCAAATTTCGTGCAAATCGAATGATATATTGGGACTTTGGTGCACTATTTACATTAAATCGGGTGAAAATATATATGGGAGCTATATCTAAATCTAGACCGATTTTCACGAAATTTGGTAGACAACACTCTAGGCCCAGTTCAGTATGTTATGCCAAATATCGTGAAAATCGGATGATATATAAGGACTTTGGTGCACCATTTGCATTAAATCGGACGAAAATATATGGGAGCTATATCTAAATTTGGACCGATTTTCACAAAACTTAGTAGACATCACTCTAGGCTCAATTCAGTATGTTATGCCAAATTTCGTGCAAATCGAAAGATATATAGGGAGTTTTGTGCACTATTTACATTAAATCGGGCGAAATTATATATGGGAGCTATATCTAAATCTAGACCGATTTTCACGAAATTTGGTAGACAACACTCTAGGCCCAGTTCAGTATGTTATGCCAAACATCGTGAAAATCGGATGATATATAATGACTTTGGTGCACCATTTACATTAAATCGGACGAAACTATATATGGGAGCTATATCTAAATCTGGACCGATTTTCATGAAACTCGGCAGGCATCATTCTAGGATCAATTTAGTACGTTGTGCCAAATTTCGTGCAAATCTAATGATATATAGGGACTTTTGTGCCTATATCGAAAATATATATGGGAGTTATATCTAAATCTGAACCGATTTTTCCCAATTTCAATAGGGTTCGTCCTTGGGCCAAATAATTGAGCTGTGTCAAATTTCATCCAATTCGGATTATAAATGCGACCTGTACTTTGTTTACAATTTAACACCAACAGACGGACGGACGGACATGCATAAATTGACTCAGAAAGTGAATCTATGCATATTCTCAAAAGGAACTATGGGTCTATCTCGTTTCCTTTTGCCTGTTACAAACATATGCACAAAGACATAATACCCTGTACCACAGTGTGGTGAAGGGTTTAAAAATATTCGTACATACCAAACAAAAGATCCAGTCCTTTGACGGACTTTTTCTCAAGTATTGCAATATATAACTGTAGATAATGCCGCAGATATAAAATGGCTACAAATAATATAAATCGTTCAAAATGTCCATGAATGTCAAGAGTCATTCATGACTAATAGCTTTAGCTACCTTAAAATGGTCACGAACGATTTTACGGATATTTTATACCCTCCAACTCATGGTATACAAATTAGTTTTTCGTTAAAAATCACTATCATGGCAACACTATATTTTTTGGATGATTCTTCAATTATATAAGTTATCTGTGTGTGTGTGTGTGTGATGTAAAAAACGTCACAAAAACCACAAAAATAAGGCGAAGAAAAACAAAGAAAAAAAGTGAAAACTTACTGCCGCTGGCTAAGCAGTTTTCCATATCGAAAATGCAGCGATTGCCAAAAATTTGAATGTATTCTTCTTCCACTTTGCCATCAGCACCATTTCTGGCAATTCTGGCACAGACCGGATCATAAATAAATGGACAAGCATGTACGCAGTCATCACGTAGCCCTGGGTCAATATCCGTAATGCATTGCAGCAATTGAGTGGGTTTCCAGGCTAAAGGAACAAAATGGAAAAAATAAGAAAAAAAATCGACAAAAGAATGAACGAAAGAATGAACGAAAAACACGAACGGCAAAAAATAAATTTCAATTTCTTTTAAAATATATTACGTGTCCTGATGACAACGACATACCTCTGCCCCGATGACATGCATCATATTCCATCAGACAAGTATTATGAAAATATTTAATATTTTTATCATCATTCTCATCCACTGCACAAATAGGCTCCAAATTACGAGGGCAAACGCGATTACATGAATCGGTGTTGGGCGAAATTGTGCTTGATTTGTGGGATTTGACGGCAACCTCGGAAAGATGTTGTTCGGTTGGATTGGCTCGTGACATGGCAACAAGCGCAGCGAAGCTCAGCAATAAAGCGAAGAAAATTTGCTTCATTGTACCTTGTTGACTTTCGATTAACCACAAGAAAAATAAACTGCTATTGATATGCTACATTTCATCAGCTTATATAGAAAATGATTTCCTTTCTTTTTGTCTGGTCAGTTGTTATCTAATTTTTATCTCTGATTATACGTTTTGATAAAAATACTGAATGGCTTTTAAGCATAATCTGAAGTAATGAGCAATTATGGATCAATATTTTCCAACATATTTACGCCGTCATAGGTACTTGTGTTATTTTCCTAAAGATTTGATATCTCAAGGAATAAATAAACCTACACGGAAAATAGGTCAAACCTCTATGTGAAGTCCAAGGTAATGATTAAATTAAAATACTTCCAAGGGATATGATTTTTTACAGCTGAAAACTGTTAAATCCCAATTGAAGGTAATAAAATGTACCAAATACACTAATCGGGCGGCAATATTTTAATAATAAGTATGAAGTCGAACACTGCTATAAGAAACTCCGTGGGGCCGGACAATTTAGTTCGTAATAGCCGCAGTAGGAAAATTTGTTAAACCTTATGTGTATGTAAACCAGTAAGGAAAGTAGTAAAGTCGGACGGAGCCGACTATATGATACCCTTCACCACTTTGGGTATAATTAACAGATTTATTCTAACATAACATTATATATATATATATATATATATATAAACCGACTTGGATCAATCCATAAACCTGCCATTCTGTAACCTATACTAAACTCTTCATTTGGATAGATAGAAAATGAGACAAAATTATGTAAATCGATTTAAAGCAAATCTCAATCGACCACTCGTTGATTTTTTAAACCCAATAGACATGAAGTCGGTCGAATACATGGGCTATGTCAGCATTTCTACATCTCTACGAAAAGCAATTATGTCACTCTATACTCAATTTTGTACGTTGGGTACAATTAAACGTCAATATTATCAAAATGAGGAGTTTGGTGCACTATTTAATTTAAAAATCAGACGAAAATATTAATGGAAGCTATATTTAAACCGATTTCAATGAAACTTGTCACAGTTAGTTTATACGACTTTTAGCACGTTTTGTACACATCGGCCATATTTTGGGTCTTTGGTTCATCATTTACTTACAATTAGAGGAAAACATATGTAGGAGCTATATCAAAATCTGAACCGATTTCAAAGAACTTGCCACACGAGCTAGGATATATAGGAGCTATATCTAAATATGAACCAATTTTCACGAAATTCGACACACGCTACTTACTTTAAATCGAACAAAAATTAATATGGGAGCTATATCTAAATCTGAACCGAAACTTAACTTTCATAGTTTTAGACTTAATTCAGTACGCTGTGCCAAATTTCGTGCAAATCGAAGGATATATAAGGATTTTGGTGCACTATTTCCCCAAAATCGGACGAAAATATATATGGGAGCTATATCTAAATCTGAACCGATTTTCACGAAATTCGACACACATCGTTCTAGATTTACTTCAGTACGCTATGCCAAATTTCGTGCAAATCGAAGGATATGTAGGGACTTTGGTGCACTATTTCCATAAAATCGGACGAAAATATATATGGGAGCTATATCTAAATCTGAACCGATTTTTGAGAGACTTAATACACATGAAATTGGATGAAATTGGATCCATAAACATGTCATTCTGCAACACATACTAATTATACCCTTCACCACACTGTGGTACAGGGTATTATGTCTTTGTGCATATGTTTGTAACAGGCAAAAGGAAACGAGATAGACACATGGTTCCTTTTGAGAATATGCATAGAATCACTTTCTAAGTCGAGTTATGCATGTCCGTCCGTCCGTCCGTCTGTCTGTCTGTCCATGTTAAATTGTAAACAAAGTACAGGTCGCATTTATGATCCGAATTGGATGAAATTTGGCATAGGTCACTTATTCGGCCCAAGAACGAACCCTATTGAAATTGGGAAAAATCGGTTCAGATTTAGATATAGCTCCCATATATATATTTAACCGATTTAATGTAAACGGTCCCTACATATCTTTCGATTTGCACGAAATTTGGTACAGCCTAATCATTTAGGTCTAGAATGATGTCTGCAAAGTTTCGAGAAAATCGGTCCAGATTTAGATATAGCTCCCATTTATAGTTTCGTCCGATTTCATGTAATGGTGCACCAAAGCCCCTATATATCCTTCGATTTGCACGAAATTTGGCACAACGTACTGAATTGAGACTAGAGTGATGTCTGCCAAGTTTCATGAAAATCGGTCCTGATTTAGATATAGCTCCCATATATAGTTTCGTCCGATTTCATGTAAATGGTGCACCAAAGTCCCTATATATCCTTCGATTTGCACGAAATTTGGTACAACGTCCTGAATTGAGCCTAGAATGATGTCTGCAAAGTTTCGTGAAAATCGGTTCAGATTTAGATATAGCTCCCATATATAGTTTCGTCCTATTTCATGTAAATGGTGCCCCATAGTCCCTATATATCTTTCGATTTGCACAAAATTTGGCATAACGTACTGAATTGAGTCTAGAATGATGTCTGCCAAGTTTCGTGAAAATAGGTCAAGATTTAGTTTCGTCCGATTTCATGTAAATGGTGCACCAAAGTCCCTATATATCCTTCGATTTGCACGAAATTTGGCATAACGTACTTAACTGAGCCTAGAATGATGTCTGCCAAGTTTCGAGAAAATCGGCCCAGATTTCTATATAGCTCCCATATATAGTTTCGTCCGATTTCATGTAAATGGTGCCCCATAGTCCCTATATATCTTTCGATTTGCACGAAATTTGGCATAACGTACTTAATTGAGCCTAGAAGGATGTCTGCCAAGTTTCATGAAAATCGGTCCTGATTTAGATATAGCTCCCATATATAGTTTCGTCCGATTTCATGTAAATTGTTCACCAAAGTCCCTATATATCCTTCGATTTGCACAAAATTTGGCATAACGTACTTAATTGAGCCTAGAATGATGTCTGCCAAGTTTCATGAAAATCGGTCCTGATTTAGATATAGCTCCCGTATATAGTTTCGTCCGATTTCATGTAAATGGTGCACCAAAGTCCCTATATATCCTTCGATTTGCACGAAATTTGGCACAACGTACTGCATTGGGCCTAGAGTGATGTCTGCCAAGTTTTGAGAAAATCGGCCCAGATTTGTATATAGCTCGCACTTATAGTTTCGTCCGATTTGATGTAAATGGTGCACTAAAGTCGCTATATATCATTCGATTTGCACGAAATTTGGCATAACGTACTGAATTGAGCCTAGAGTGATGCTGCCTTGTTTCGTGAAAATCGATCCAGATTTAGATATACATCCCGTTTTATTATAGATTGATTTTAAGTAATTGACCCCCCAAGGAACCAATAGGAACAAAACGTTCCGAAATTAGTATAACCTAACCTGTGACAAGTTTGCTTGAAATCGCTTAATATTTGGATAGAGCTTCCATACATATTTTCGCCCGATTTCAAGTAAATTGGGCATCAAACTCCTCATGTTAGTCAGATTGACATCAAATTTTGCACAACGTACAAAATTGAGCATAAAATTACGTAGTTGCGTTTTCTAGAAGTAAAGACATAGCCCAACGTATGACCTATCTATATTTGTTTGAAATCGATTTACATATTTTATGGATAGATCTAGATAGATTCACATTTAGATAAATATCACATATATTATTTCATCCAATTTTATGTTAATAGTCCTGTTTAATATACCCATAGTTGTGAAGGGTATCATATAGTCGGCCCCGTCCGACTTTACTACTTTCCTTACTGGTTTATTTTGGCCAAAGTTACCACGGCCACCATGTCGCGAGTTCATATAAACAGCGGCCAAAAATGGAAGGAGTTATCGTATGTTAATGAAATTTGGTGCATGTGTTTATTATTGGCCTAAAGAGCAACTGACAAAAAATTGGAGAGATCGGACCAAGATTTGGTATACCTCCCTTATAATGGGTCTTGAGAATGTCACCCTTTTTGGCCTATAAAATCTTTAATATTTAACCAAATTAAATGAAAATACGCAATTTACTTAGGCCTATAAAGCAACTGACCCAAAACTGGAAAAATCGAACCAAATTTTTATATACCTATCATACAAAGGGTCTTGAAAATGTTACTATTTTGGGCTATATAATCATTAATATTCAACCAAATTCAATGAAAATTGACAATTTACTTTTACTTAGGCCTATAAAGCAACGGACCAAAAACTGGGTAGATCGGACCAAGATTTGATATACCTCCCATACAAAGGGTCTAGACCTATAAAATTGTGTTTATTAATACAAGTTCCATGAACATTTTCATGTCTTCGTCCAAATTACTTCAAATTTTGACGAAGACAGTAATAGGTGTTGCAATTTAGTTGTTGGTCCATGTTACAGGTTCCTACCATACCAAAAGTCCCTAAAAAGTAACTTTCTGTACTATTAAATCGTTATATGCAGCTAAATT